ATAGGTGGCGCAAATTAGCGAAAGCCAATCGAGCCTTTTGTATTCGTGCAGAGATCTCATCAGCCACTGAACCATCAGGGCTGATCCTACTTCCCAGGTAAGTGAAGTGGTTAACACACTCAACTTCACTCTGTATTCTCAGCCGCGGCACCGTCGAAGACCAGTCTTGGAGCAAAAATTCGCATTTGGGTGGTGAAAACCGCATCCCAAACTTTCCCAAATTGACACTCAGTGTCCAGAAGACTATGCATCTTGTCAGCGTCTTCACCTAACAGGACTATGCCATCTGTATATTCTAGGTCTAACAAAAATTCACCTGTGATTAGGTCAACGTCTGTGTAACCTGGTGACGAGAGGGAGACCTCCATAAGGATATCTGTGACGAAATTGTATAAGGATGGAGACAGTGGGCATCCTTGACGGACACCACTAGATGAGCAGAGCTCCCTGGACAACTCACTATAGGCTCTAACATGCCTACAAGTGTTCGAGTAGGGAGCTTTCAATAAGGTGATATACTTACTCGGCACGCCTTTCAGTGAGAGATATTGCCATATGACTTCTCGATCAACGGAGTCAAATGCCGCCTCAAATCAACAGTCAAACACTTCATACATTGGTGCCATGTTTTAGTCTGGCCACCTCGGGTCTTTTTTCAGCCTGGGCCTACTTTAGCCAACATTGTGCGACGAGGCAATCGATAACTAGGCATACGTAGTACGTGTCCCAACCAGCTATCTCAGTCGATGAAGGTTCACAACCTCGTCAACACTTAGGCACTTCACTCTCTATTGTTAGTCGCGGTACTGTTGAAGACCAATCCTGGAGCAAGAATTTGCATTTGGTAGTTAGGTATATTGGTAGAAAACATGAACAGTTATTTATTACGCTTATACATGTTCACTGTCATTCATTCTTAGTATTTATAATCTACTGTCTAGTGCGTTGTATTTCTTGACTTCTTCCTTTTCAGTTATTTATTAGACAGTACCAGTTAATGACAGACTCAAATTTCATCCTCGTTTGTAAACAAAAGTAACAAAATTGAACAAAGTACTTATTTCGGATAGATGCACACATCAGAATACATTTTAGTCAAATGTTTTCAGCAGGATTCATTGACAATTGCACGTGCATAAAAAAATCACACTCTCATTGAAAGTAAATCTAAACCCAAACATAGAGGACTAAGAAATTCGCACCATAGTCCTATTGTTCGACGTTATTTCTACATGATCAACAAAGTCACGGGCATCTAGGAACAAGTAGTATGAAGGTGTTTTGTGGCTCATTGGTTTAGGCAGTTGACTTTTGACTGATGCATCACAGGTTTGAACCCTTCTCCACTTAGCGAGGTTTAGGTAACCAGATAGTTCACACCCAATAAATGTGGATCATTGCCTACTGCACGAAAGTGCATTTCGATTTTCGAGTGAAAGGTAGTGCAAATTATTTTGACTTAGCTATTACTAACACTGTAGGTTATTTCAAGTTGATACAGATAAATCATACCTTTTCTAAATGAAAACAAGGAAATTTAAACTAATCGCAGCTATGAATACAGATTGAAATCTTAAAGATCAAAATGCAGTAGCAACGAGTTCCATTAAAACAACTATTCAATATGATGAAAAAGAAGTTTCGTCTAATAATTACCCTATGAACAATAAAACTCAAAGTGCAATCTTTCATTTTGTTTATCCTCTTTTGGAAGTTCACATCGCTCAACTTTAGTACTGAATTCATTTCATTCCAATTTCAAAATACTACGCAGTTCTACTGATTTGTAATCGCTAAATTGCTTTGCTAGTTAGTGGTGTTAAACATGATGCTTTTGCATAATAAGGTAGCATAGTAATGATTGCTTTTCATGTGAACTATTAAAAACACTAAATAAGTTTATCAGCAAAACATTTTCCAATTCTGACCGGTTTAACAAGTACCGAACACCAATTCGAAGAATCATAGAACTATACGCCTGAAAGCAATTTGATCTTAGACTAAATAGTCCGTATCACAATATATCCCACAAGCATTTGAGGATAAACTAAACTATACTGAAGATAGTAGCACTAACCAGTTACATAAGCATATACAATATTTCATAAATTTGTTAGAATTCAGTAACTATATTCAGGTTCTTGCAACAGACAGTGAGCCATACCTAATGTAACAAAGTTGTCCATACTTCGGTAGATGAAACAGCGTTCGAATCGGTAACTCAATCGATGAAAGTCAGATGCCCAGACCAATTTGTCAAAGCTCAAGACAACGGTTACACGGAAGCATATTCATTGCCTTAATGAGATTCATAGGCATGAGATATTCATCGAAGACAGTAAGAAAGCTTTTACAGATACCAGTTAGCTGCAAAATAAACCAATCTCCACGAGTCCAAAACAAGTAAAGGTAGTGATTAACATTTATTGTAAGTAAATATGACTGTTTAAACATGAGAATATTCTAGACCAATTTAGTGCAAAATTATTCACTTATTAAAGGCCTAAAATCATGAGGACAGCTTAGTGTTCGTATGTTGAACTGACGAAAAAATCTCTCCATGAAATTAATACGTCTAAATCATCACTTTTACACTATAGCGTATCAGGAAATAACACCATACATTCTAGAGTAGAGGCGATTCATATGTAAAAGATTGAGACTCTACGCTACAGTGGCTTTTAAAACTTTAAAATATTGATTACAACAAATGTCCCATTGAAACAGGATATTCAGTTACTGGAGATGATCCCGACTTATTATTTTGCATTACCTTCTGTGTCAATAGAATAGTATTGGACTCTTATAATGAGTCAGAGACAAGGGAAGACGTTCCGAAACTCGGAATTATTAAAGTGTATTTACCTTTCTTCTAACTCTATAAGGCAGAATGTCTGGTTATGATGACTCCTTGAACGTTGTTCTGAGCTACCTGTGGAATATTCTAATTATATCTGGTCGGTAGAAAGTAAGGAAAAGATCCTATGACGGAAATTTGTTGGACATTATACAACGCTTAGCAACAGGTAGGAAACTGAACGTACACAAACAGTAAAAACAGCATAGTAGTAAAGGCTGAAAAAATTTTTTAATTGGTAATACTATGCTCCTATCATAGACGGACTAATATTCATAGAAAATATACAAAGTCATTCCAATTAAACATTCATACTGAACAAGCGGAAATGACTAAATATTCATCCCTACACAAATTATAATAAATACTGCTATCCTGTCACCTATAAAGACTCCAGAAGGACCCATGAAAACATCCTAGTTTCGAAGGTTTAGATACTACATAGTCACAAAACACACTGAAAATAATGGTGAGAAGAAGTGGAGAGGGAAATGAGAAAGTATAACGGAAAAAAAGTGTCAATGGACATACAGTCACACATGAGGTCAAAACTAGTTCTAAGTAAAATTTTAAATATTGAATTCATGTAAAGTGCATGAATGGACTAATTCTCTGAAAGATGATATCGATCAACAGTGATAGAAAAGAAGTGTGACTACAACTACGACATGCTGCAACAGTAACGATCGAGCACACAAGAGAAATAAGAACTAAGAACCCAGTAGGCGATCTACTAAAGCTACACCATTCGATATAATCATTTGGTAAAACCAAGCTTTAAAGTGAAGAATTACGCTTCAGGGATACAGAAATCGCATTCAACAAAAGTGCAAACTCGCATCTGCAGTAAAATAAGACAGCCAGACGGTCGAAAACAACGCAAAACCTTACACATACAAGTGAATCCTTTCAAGTTGCCACAATTCACTGTAATATGAAAACGAGTACATTGGAAAGAGTGATTTCAAAGTAAACAAACGATTTCGGGAGGAGAAACAATTTGGAGATAAAGGTTAGTGAAAATATTGAAGCGCTAGAGGACGGCAATGAGTGAATACACCTGCACCATTGTGACCACTTTTAGCCATGTCACCAAGAGTCCCCAATCACTGATTTCTACTGCTTTGAGGACACCAACCAGGTAGTCTACACCTCCCCACACGGGTCACACCAACAGTCAGATTCCATGGACTGGTACCATGTTTTCGTCTGGTCACCCTTGACCCCACTTCCAACCTAATCAAACTCCTCCTAACACTAAACTTCGAGGTAGGTAGTGCCTCGCTATGTGCTTAGCATGTGCAAGCTACTACTCCACATGCATAATATAAATAAAGAAAAGACGCATGATAATCTAGTCGTAAAAGCAGGTGATGTATACATAAGTCACTGATATAGCCAGTAGGAATAAGTCTCTGGAAAAATAGCTCTCTTAATATGATGCTTTGGTTTGTAATCGGACACTGGTTAAATAACTTAATGTCAAAACGGACATAAGTAATTTTATAGATATGGAGTGCAAATCAACGGTCAATATTCGAAAGTGAACATGAAGAGATTGGAATGAAGGCGAGATCAGTTTCATAATTATGAAAAGATCCCTACTTTTGAAAGAAGTTTAACAAAATTGACTCCTTCTTCTAGTCAATTACAATTTTCCCCTAGATAACAAGTGAATGTCTAAATAGAGATAAACGGATGGTAGGTACTGCTCAAGTTGAGTGCTCTTTGTATGAATACAGCTGGAACACACCCACTCGAGATTTTGACCAGGATAGGACTAATTAAAGAACTAGTGTAAAGCATACTGAAGAAATAGGCAAAATTAGAAGTGATGAACAGTTAGTTAATGCACCGTCTAAAATACCAATTGTTGCTAAGACCATAAAATGCTGTTAAAATGTATCCTGGTATCGTTACAGTGTATGAACAGCAGGACTAGACGGAGAACTGATCTAAGAAGTACACACAAAACGAATGAAGTTAGAAGCTGTAAATGTCACATTATTTCAGGTAATCATCAATATCAACAGTTCTTGCACACATGTTAGAACGGACAACATCGCCAAAACAATGTTATAACCAAACGCTCCATCCAAAATGGAATGAAACAGAACGTGAACTAAATAAAAAATCAAATTACCTCACAAGGCAAATTACCACGCTCCAATATGTACAAATGATGTACAGCAGTCTGACGCTGATCAAATGGATGATTGGCAATACGAAATAGGTTGAATGAATGACCCCGCTTACAGGCAGTAAACAAAAGGCTCCCAGACGTATCAAACTTTAGAAGTGCAACATTAGCCCAACGGTGAGCCTATAAATAAAAATGTTTCGAGGAGAAAATTGATGGAAAGATATTAAATCAAATACATGTAAATGCATACGCATACATTTATATTCTGCAACTCACAATTTTCAAACGCCACCATAATCAGATGGAAATCTTAGTTGGCGTTTGAAAATCCTTAAATACTTAAGCACCTTGTTAACTGTTCCCATGTCTTTCTATTTTTGGGGATATTAAGGTTACAAATGACAAGCGAAAGTGGCTCAATTCACATCATTACAATATTCAATCGTTTTTTTTCTTCTTTGAATAATGTAAGCTGTAACCATTCCGAAAACTTAAAATACGTTTAGGTGAACAGCTTTAAAAGTCTTCGCACAATATCAACTACTAGTAGTGAAGGGAACAAAACTGCCAAAAAGGGGGCGTTGAACCTTAATGTATGTCATATATGACTTTGTTATGAAACCGATAGTATCACATTACAATACCACTGTTTACTGCTAGTTGCCAATATCGTTGGTCATGTAAGTTCAAGAATTTGAGCCAAAATACATCGTATTCTTTTACCCACACCCGTAAGTATGAACAAGTAGAATTTAATGAACTGTAGAGAGGCTATCACTATGTTCGTAAAATATTCAAAGAGATCAGACACGTTTTGACATGACATTCGACTAGAGCGACATTTTAGTGATGACCAATCATGTTCGAGTATACACTGACCAATCAGATCCAAGTTTACGAAGGACAAGGTAGTTATTAAGGAACATGGTATCCTACTGACAAGTTTTAAATATTTTACATGAGAAATAAGAATATCTAAACTTGCAATAGTTTTGTCTTCTTAGAAACCATACTATTGGCCTCTATTGCCAATCATCGATATGAGATCATAACGTATCCCATGATGGTTCCGTCAAAAGTCGTAGAAACTTTCGAAGACGACTCCACATATTTTTAACGTTGTTCCTGTGCTCTCTAGTCGTTTGATTAAACAAGTGCATCTTGTGAACAATAACTTGATGGGGGTAATCCATTTCAGATAACGGCATGTAAAACTTACAAGCATCTGCCCATATTTTGGTACCCGATACTACCCATTTTTCTATAACCGGTAGGATAAATACTTCTGATCTGTACTTGACCGACTGAAAATGTCCTTTACTCGTATTTCGGTAGTATAAACAAAGAATCTGTGTTTTATCAAGATGCATGTATGTAACTTACCCAGTTCTGTTTAAGTTGTCTTCCTCGGTTATATTTATGTTATTGAACAAGACATCCATCTATTTCAAAGACAACATATTCCACCAAACTTCACACCCAACCTGCATATTATTTCGGAGTAAACATCTCTGTAGTACTGATACTGTTGCACAGGAGGAACTTCACTAACATTTGTCAGATCTTCTGCTAATATTATAGATGTTCCAACAACCCGACGTAATGCTAAAATCATTATTTGTTGGACAGATAGGTGAGATCCTTCGAAAAACGATAATGTTCTCAAAGATTTTTTTCTTGTAATAGATGGGACAACGAAAGATACAACCACCTCTTCTCTCTCTCTTACATACACAATCCGCTACAAAACCACATTCATAATTTAGACTTCTAGCAAGTGATCCAACTCTCTGAAAGTCACCCACAACGTAATCTTTGTCATAACTTATCAAACGTTTATTCAGCATCAACAACTCGATGAAAGGACGTAATAAATGGCCTTGAATCTTCAACCTGACTGGTTGTCCTCAAGGTTTCGGGTCATTAAAGTTTAGTTCTACCACCTATTCACAATGTGCGGGTTTATACTGAGTACGGATCTGAATTGCTTGAAGCATATCTAACATCTGGTAGTTGACAATTCAAATCATCCCAGAGTTCAACCTTGAAGGATGTATATTATGGTGGAATTTTCTCTTATCTGTTCATGTTTGCTGTATCAAAAAGTGTCCGATTGTTTGATTGCACACAGACGATCATTAAACTGGAGATTATCAAAGTCCAATGTCGACATAACAAATGATACAAATACATGTTTGATCAAACTCCAAAGTTATAAGTTTTCCAGCTAGATATTTTGTTCATAAATCTTAAGACTAAACTTACTTACCTGATTAAAAATTCAGCAGAGAGAATTTAAACAAAAATACAGTATGAGCAGTAAACATATTTCTACACAAGTTCACGAATTTCATGTGTACCTTGGATGATGGGTAGATGAGTTGAGAATTATAAACAAGCAGGCTACAAATGAATCCTTTCCAAATATCCTACTCGGTATGCTGAAGGTTTTCTCCCAGGAAACCCAAATACTACACGAAAACCACAAAACATCACATAAATACGTGAATACAAATCCACCTCGTAAATATTAAAGTGCTAGAGGACGGCAATGAGTGAATACACCTGCACCATTGTGACCACTTTTAGCCATGTCACCAAGAGTCCCCAATCACTGATTTCTACTGCTTTGAGGACACCAACCAGGTAGTCTACACCTCCCCACACGGGTCACACCAACAGTCAGATTCCATGGACTGGTACCATGTTTTCGTCTAGTCACCCTCGACCCCACTTCCAACCTAATCAAACTTAATATAGCATCGCACGTTGAGATAGGCAGTTGCTCGGCATGGTCAGCGCATGTCTAAGCCACTTCAGTCGCCTAAGGTTTACAGCCTCATTGACTGATTTGTCTTCCTTGTCTATCTTTCGCCTGACCACTACATTACTCACATTACATGCGAGCAATACTACGAAGACACTTGTGATCAGTAACTTGCAACCGCGTCTCACAACCATATAACGGGACACAACACACTACATGGCAGCGTACTCGTCCTTTAATGGGTAGTCAGATATCTCGCCGGCCCCACAGATGACGCAAGTTGGAAAATACCAAATGGGCCTTCTGTATCCCAGCTGAGATTTCGTCAGCAAACAGCCCATTCTGGTGGACGCAACTCTCCAAGTAAGTCAAGTGGGCGACACATTCCACTAATTCACTCCCCATCCTTAAACTAGTAGTTACATACTAGTACTGAAGCACCATCTTACATTTGACAGTTAGGAAGCTCATGCCAAACACGCTCTGGTTTCCGCTCAATGTGTTCGGAAAACCCTACATTTTGTCAGTATTTCTGCTTAAGAAGACAGATAGTGTTGTCTGCGTACTCCAAGTCAACCAGACAGCCTCCAAGATATAGACCAAGCCCTGTAAAGTCAGAGGTACCTAAGTTTATGTCCACTAACACATATATCACAAAATTAAATGGAGAGAGTGACAGTGGGTATCCCTGTCAGATACCAATAGTAGTTGTTAATTTAGATGATAACTCTCTACAAGCCCATTCACAGCTGCAACAGTTCAAGTAGATGACTTTGATTAGCTTTACATATCGGCTGAATAAGTAGTATCTGGAAACCAAGTGAAATAACCCTCAACACGGTTCTCAAACTACAAGTCATCTTCCTTGTATGTAGATCATTGACTTATTCCTCTCCACAATAATCTTACAAACCGCTATCTATTTTAACGGTGCTCGTAGTAAATTTGCGTAACCCTCCATTGCTTTCTCCTGCTACCGCCTTTTCTATCCTTCTAAATTTTGCTACCCATCACTACTTTTGGTCACTGAGTAGACTCAATTAGTCTCTACTTAACCTTCTTCCGCTTTTGTTTGTGCTTGAAGTCTGCTGAAGTGTGTTCTACAGTACCAGTGAATTTGGATGAAGCAAATGAAATCTACTGGTCATCTCTTAAATTTTAGTGAGGAGTAGTCCTACTATCCATTACTGCTTTTCCAACAGACTGGAGATGGTACTGGGCTTAGTTACGATGAGTAACGTTGCTTTATCGCTTTAGTTGTTCAGTCAGGTCCTCCACAATAAATAAAATGGTGTAAATCAATGCAGTACGGATTTATGCACCAGACTAAGAGCTACACTTAATGTTTTGAGGTTGAAGTAAGTGTAGTAAGTTTCGAAAATATGACCGATTAGTCGAAAGTCAAGTGCCACATCTACATAAATGCAGCTTTGATATAACTATGTATATCCACACAAAAGCATGCTTGAACCGACGTGAGGTCAATGTCTAAGTATATCTCTAAAAGAAGCGAAAATCCTTCAGTGGTAGCTGATTGAGACATACTTTATAAATTTCCACACTTGAATTGAGGTCAGCTGGTGTCAGAACAGATAATAGGGTAAACAGAATCAACTTAATAACACGTGCATTTCACCTGACCCCCTTGAAAACCTACTTGTTTTGATATAAAGGATTTTCATACACCATTCAATAATTAGCTTGAAAAATCATAAATTTCCTGTCTGCTTGTTTACAGATAATCATGACATGAAATTTCATAAATCAAGTCGACATAGTATTATATAACAATGAAGTGAGAAAATGAATTGTGACAAAAAATAAAACAACAATTTGTAAAAGTTACTCACCATGAAATGCGCCACTAAAGCACCTGATCCACTAAATTCATGTACATTCAAATATTTTGTTCCTGACGTTATTATATTTGCACGTTCATTATTGGTTGAACAGTATTGCGGTTGTGAACTAGTGGTGGTAGTATTAGGCTGGACTGGCGGACTACAAAGATTGGAATTGTTGGAATATAAACGCATCGATGTTGTATTTTTTTCAAGTTTTCTCAACAATTCATGTTCAGATTTCAAAGCTTGCAAATCAACTATTGTGACATAACCGGGTGAAATAGTGGTATTAGAGTCATTCAATTCAGAACTGCTTAAACTAAGTTTATAACGCTGGAATGCTTCCGGTGAAGGTGACTGAGGTGGTTGGTGTTGAGGACTGAGATGATTAACTCGCGAAGTCGGACAATTTGCACTTAATGAATTTGAAACAACTGAAGTGGCCAAAGCTGAAATACCATCCCAAAGACGCTAAAAAATAAGTATCAAAAATGTACAATGCGTAGATATTAAAATAACCTATAAATTGAAGTATTGTTGCGATAATAGTCACTAACTGGTTTGTGCATTTAATTGTTTAGCAACGTATTGTCTGGTCATCTTACTTCAATCAACATAAAATGATAGGTCATATTGTGTTAAAATCCCTAAATATAGTTTAAAATTCAAACCTAAAGGACGTCATACTAGCGAACTGAAATTATATGACATGATTTTAAGAGTATCTTGGATACACTGCGTGTAACTCATAGGAACAGTATAACAAACACTTTCAGTTTACGTAGATAACTTTCAGTAAGTTTTATGGACCAATATGGAAAGAAGGTCTTAAGCACGATGATACTGGGAACAGCTATGTCGAATACGGTTAACAGAAACAGGAATATAAATTCTTAGTTTACCAAAACCAAAATGAAATGCTATAATACGGTTTAGATTACTGACACTAAGGTATGGAAGACATAAATAAAAAGTGACGTTTTCATAGAACCGAAATATGCTAACTGTAAGAGCTCAACCTTCGATCATTCAGCATTCATATAACCAAACTGTCACCTGAGGATTTTACGTTAATCACATGTTGCCAAATAGGATTGGTTACTGACATGTCACGATCGTCGACGATCAAAGACCAAACATCAATGGGAAACTATGCCTAACACTTACCTTTCAAATAATGCCGTTTTCAACTTATAATCCTGGACCATGACTTTTGCATACTTGAGCGGACAACCTTTCAAGAATTACTAATCTCCAGTCTATTCACAACCTTCTCATTTTCGGTAATATTCAAGTTGATTTCAATGTCCAATTCAAACCAAGGTCAATATTTTCTGATACATATATGATCTGCTACACTGACTTGCTAATTATACTATATTTGTCCTTTTGGTTCACCGTGGAACATACGTTTTCAGTAGCACATCTCCATTGCACTCTCTCCTCTGCAGTCTATCCAACCTGGCTCCAAGACTACCCAGTAGCTTTCATTCCTAACTCCCACTATCTCCGCCATGTCACCCACGCCTCAGACGCCCAACTCGTCCTTTCCCACATGCGTTACACTCGAAGGTCTGTCCCTGGATCGTAATGTTCCCGAATGGTCTTCTCTGTGTATGCCCAATATAATCCATCTCCACTGTATTCTGCATATTTGTTAGGTGATGGGTTGTTGGTTGGTTCGTCACCAACCAGCCAGAGTTCCTTGTTCCCCATTCTTATTATTCTGACCATCTGATCTGATCTGATCTTCAGTATCGAGTGAGCCTAGGTGGCAGGTGTAGATGTGATGTTTGTCTGTAGTTTGTTGGAAATGCTTTCCATAACGCGCCAAGTCTCTCAACCATCACACACAAACACTGACTTGACTGAATTAGTGTTGAAAATCTCGATGTTGTTCACGCTTTATGCTGAGTGAAGTGCAGTGCAGTCGAGTTGAGTTGAGTTGAGTACAATAGATCTCCACACTGATTTCAGGTTAATGAAGGAAGGCCTGTCTTGCTTGCTTGCTCGCTTGCTGTTCCGATCCTGCCTTTGATGTCTTCATCTGTGCCTGTGCCACTGCCTGTTGTTTTAACGAGGCTGCCTAAACAGGTAGGTGAAGGAGACAACTTCCTTCAGATTTCTCCCACTGACGATGATTGGTGCTTCTTCTTGATGTTGTTGTTGGTTGGGTATCTTCATCACCTCTGTCTTCTCCACCTTCACTTGAAGTCCCGTCTTCGCTGTCCTACCTCTTCTCTCAACTTCTTGGATTGTGTCTGTAGATGTTCGAGTTTGTGCCACAAGACATTAGACATAAATCGTCATCGCTGGCGAAATCCAAATCTTCTTCTGTGCTCTTTTCATCAGTGCAGACAGTGTATCACCCACCCTCTTCTCCCTCCTCACACTTGTCTCTTGCATGATCCAGTCGAGTCCAGTCGACAACAATCATGAAGATCATCGTTGATAGTAGGCGGCAACCTTGTCTTACTCGTGTCCCCTGTCTTCTTCACTTCAAAAGCATCACTCAGCTTTCCACTGAGAATCACTTGGCATGTAGCCTCATCATGCAGCATAGCATATAGCTAGCTGTTGAATGAGGTTGATAAAGGTATGTGGTACTAAAGCCGTAGTGTTGAAGTAGTTGCCTGCCAAATTACTTCTCGGTCGACACCGTCGAAGGCCTGTTCAAAGTGGATGAAAGTTGAGTTGAGGTGAGTTGAGGTAAAGATCCAGTTGACTGGCATTCTATGCTCTCTTCTGTGATGATGAGTAGTGTAGTGTTGCAATTTGATCCACACATGATTTGTTTTTCGTGAAGCAAGCCAGCCAGCCAGAGTTAGTCAGTCAGTCAGTCAGTGAGTCAGTCAGTGAGTCGGTCTGTTCTGGTCGTCATTTTGAATCCAGTACATCGTTAGTCTCTCCACGATGATGTGGGTTAATATTTTGCTTGCTTTGGGTGGACAGGAGCATGATTTCTCGCCAGTTCTTCTTCCAAAGGCTCAGGTCGCCCACCCTTCTTCTGGAGTTTGACAAGGTAACCCTTCTTCCTCCCTACCCACCCTCCTTGCTTGCAAACCGTCTGGAATAGTGGGTGGTATGAGCATGTCTGTTGTTGATGTCTCTGCGTCTGTTTCCAGTGCTTCTGGAGGAATTCCATCTCATCCTGTTGGTTTGGCGGATTTCAGCAACTTCATGGTATGGCGTTCAGGACTTCACTTCTGCTCTTCTCAGAGGGCTTGTGTTGACTGATACTTGTGTGGTTGGGCTGGTGGTGTTATTTCTGGCCGATTTGCAGGTGATGGTGGTTGTCGATTCAAGAGATTTTTGAAGTGGCCGGGTCATTGTTTCTATTGTTTCTCCTCTTTGGTAACTAGGTTTCCTTCACTATCTTTCATTACCTTCATCTGTGTTGTCCTGTTCCAGATAGACAGTAACCTGGTTATTTGATATAATGTTGTCAGTTCTCTGTCTCTCTTACCTACAACCTGTTCTGCTTCACTTGCTAATGTGTCGTAGAAGTGTCTTTTGTCTTTCCGTACACTCCTCTTCACTTCTTTGTCCAGTGTGGTGTCTTATAAGAAGTACTCAGTTCCTCTTTTCGTTGTTCATCCCTGCACTGTACTGTACTGTTTCATCTTCTGCCTCACTATCTTCCTCTCCCTGCTCTGTCGGTTTCCATTTGTCCATCGAGATCCATTCCTTGTCTCGTCTTGCATCTTCTTGCTTCCTAGTACGGATGTGCAGGTTTCCTCCCACACAGCTTTCAAAGAGTTCCAGTGTTCTTCCACAAAGGTCTCTTCACAGATGTTGCTTAACGTCTCCTTCCTCCCATGTGGCTGACTGACGTGAAAATGTCCTTTGTAATTTAGTCCTTCAGTTCAGTTTCTGTTCTGGGTGTTGAACCTGAACTGTGGTCTATCATCACCAGCTTCTTTGGAGGCTCCCGACTTGATTTTGAAGTTAGGTTCGTTGCACTAGGTGGTGAGTGGTGTGAACCTACATCTGCTCCTCTTCTTGGTCTGATCTTGTTTGTGTCCAGTAGGCTGCGTCTCCACTTTCTTCGCATTGAAATGAAGTCGATCTGATTTTTAGCGCAATGTGTCCATCTGGTAAATGGTAAAGTCGAATCCATGTCGCTGCCTAGTGAATATCATCGTGTTTGTGCACAGTGCCTCCAATCACCAAATAATTAAATGCGCAGAAGTCTGCAAACAGTTCTCCATTCTCATTCATCATTCCAACGACTTCCTCTCGACCCATGATGAGTTCTCTTCCTGTGGTTCCCTTTCTGCTCCCTATTTGGTATTCATGTCAACCCACCCATTAGAATTTTGATGTCACCATCGCCAATTGAGGTGGAGTCTTGTCCACTACTGATTGCAGTTGTCTATAGAATTCCTCCTTCTTCTCTTCATCTGCACTATTTGTAGGCGCATAGCGCAGCGTAGCGTAGCATTGTATCATTGTGACTTCCTTTCCTCTTCAGTTGAATCCATCTTCTTGTCATGATCCTCATCATGCAGGAGGAGATTGGTTCCCATTGCTTGAGACAGAGAGAGAGAGAGAGAGCCTTCTATGCTCCTGGGAGGGGACATCATGATAGCCATTCCACAACTCAGTGTGCTCGTTCGTGGTTGTCGTCTGGGTGACAATATCGGAGTAGATCATTGACTCCCTAGCTGACAGTTTTGAGAGTCCACTTCCACTCTATCTGCATATTCCTCGCAGATTCCTAGCACATCTATGTTATGTCTTCTCATATCTTTTGCAATCTGGGCAGCTTTGTCAGTCAACCAGCTTCAAACATTGTGCGGACATTTCATGTCCCTATGCTTACTTCTGCATTCATCGAGAGAGAGGAGACGCATCGGCCAATTGGCTTGCCGATGGGTTTCACCAAACGGCGCCATTTCGTCTCCCCGATTCCAGCAAGGAATAAGTTCATTTTTATATCTTCGTTGTGCTTTGAAGTTTCTTTAGCGATTGGATTGGTTTTTCGGGGTAGGGTTGTTAGCTCTATGCCCAACTTCCCGTTTGTTCGGGCTTAGGACCGAATAGTAACTAGTGAACTAGTAAACTAAAGTGATGGGTTTTGAACCCAGGCCTTTCGGCCTGCAGTCGACAGCTCTACCACTGAGCTAAACAGCATTGTAAATCTTGCTAACAATTTGAAATCAACGATTGTGATTGGCATTAGGTGCAAGAATGTTTGTGTTGGAATTTTCAAAGAGACTGGAGAGTGAAAACATCGACCAGAGATAACCACGTTTTAATGTGGCATTTTGTACATATCTATAAACCTTAAAAAACCGTTAGAAAATTTTAGGTACCCGAATTTGTTAGCTTGCTCTTCACTTGCTGGTTATTGCTATTTTACGGTTTACATGTGCCACCCGTCCAACTGAAACTGTCACTTGTTTCCACTTTTCAATAATTACAACGCTTGAAAGTTTTGGAACTGTCTCATTGACCTCAAGGTCCCTGAAGCTTTCGTTAATTATCTCTGTTCTCTCCTGAAATATCAGAACTAGCGTTTATTAGCAGTTTCAAAATATTGCATAACCTATCTTTCGGACTATTCAAAAAATTTGAAGTCAACGACTGAACATCTATTCTAAACAACAGATACGGAAACTTCGCAATGACCCGACTATTTATGGTGTTTTAATTTGGTGCCAAGAATTTCGACCTTAACTCATCAAACATGCACAAGATACGCGGTACTAAGCTATGAGCCATACTTAGCATACAGGACAATGACAACACTTAATTACTTGAACCCCAAAAAATGAAAAGGTTTAATTCATAACCCTCATGACTTTAACAGTGTCTAATCCAATAAATTCCAACACCTTGGTGGGCTGATTTCAGATGACTGAAATGAATATAATTTAGTCCAAATATTTTTTGGAGCCAAACTCATCCATGGCTTAGAACAAGTGAAACAATTATGTCTTTCGCAATGTTATTACTGATAGGCAGCGTTTCATTACAATCATAGCCGCATATGGCGACATAAAGATTTGGATTTCACCGATGACTTATGTCTAATGTCACACACACTTGAAGATCTGAGGGCAAAAACTAACAAGTTGACAGAAGAGGCAGTGAAGACAGGACCTCAAGTGAACGTAGACAAGACAGGGGTGATGAAGATACTTAACCAACAACAACAAGCTCCAATCACCATCAACGGGAGAAACTTAAAAAAAGTGGTCTTTCTCACCTATCTTGGCAGCACTGTTTCAACTACAGGCGACACAGTCGAGGACGTCAAAGTCAGGATCGGAAAAGCAAGATAGGCGGTCATTAGCCGGAAACTAGTGTAGAGATCCTCTGCACTCAGCATGTGGAACAAGATCCGGATTTTCAGCACCAACTTCAAGTCAGTGCTCCTATATGGTTCTGAAACTTGGCGAGTTACGAAAGGCATTTCCAACAAACTACAGACATTCATCAACAACTGCCTATGCTGGCTCGTCACTGAAGATCAGATGGTCAGAATAACAAGAATGAGCAACAAGGAACTCACTCTGGGAACGAACCAACCAAGAAACTATCGCTCAAAAAATATGCAGAGTGAAGTGGAGATGGATTGGGTATACACTGAGAAGGCCGACTGGGGACATCACGTGCCAGGCCCTCGAGTGGAACCCAGATGGGAAGCGACTAGTTGGGCGTCCGAGGCGAGGGTGACATGGAGGAGGTCGTGTGAGGAAGAAATGAGAGCTTCTGGACTGTCGTGGAACCAGGTTTAAAAGATTTTAGAGAACAGAGTGGAATGGGGGTGTGCTCCTGAAGCCCTATGCTCCATTAGGAACCCAAGGGACAAATAACAATAATATACATTCATAATTCCTAAATAAACCAAGAGATTTACGTACATAAATACTAGGCAATTATGAAAGTTACAAATTTAATTACCTTATTCATGCTTAGTACAGCAGTAGTCAAGGGCTGTGATTCGTCCGTACTTGCGTCACCACATCGAGACAGATGTTGATAGACTGGCTGAAATTTATTTGTTTAAAAACAAGTAACTTTCAGATAGTCATTTGCGTGTATTTCAAACAATCAAATATCAAAATTTTCCATGTACATTCCAGTTAACCAGGGTTTCGTGTCAGTTACAATTGTAACTATGAGTGAAATATATTATCAAGTCGTAACTGCAAACTTAGTGAGCTTAATTCCATCCAAAGTTACACAAGATCATCAGCATTAACACGATAGGTGTGAGTTGTAGCCCAGTGAATAGTAAGTGCATCCAGTTACTCGATTGTGATTTCTATATGATAGTATACGTTGAAACAAAAAACTCGTTAAATGTTACTGTTAGGAAATAGGGTTATTCCCTACGAAATCAACCACTTATTCATTACTTTTAGTGCCAGAAATACTATTCACTTTTAACCCGATTTATTAACAGGTCACTATTAAATATGGATTTACTGATTATCGAGTCATTTAAATCCCTATGATGACAAGTCTTGATAGTGCTGCGAATATCATTTGCTTTTATGCGTTGTTGCTTGTCATCTCAACAGCCAATGAACTCTTCAGTTCCAATCCATTTCTCGTATTTTAATATCAATTATAGGTAGCCAGGATAGTGAATGAGTTGGTGTTCTGTGATGACGTTAAAATAGCATAGTTTAAAAGCATAACTGTTATTGTAATCTGAAAAGTAGACAAAATGTCTAAGACAAAAACACTACCACTAAAATAAGTGTTTTCTGCACTTTTACTATAAATTTACCGACTTGAACTTGTTGAAGGAAATGATGTTTTATTTCAAATGCTCATGTGAAATGAAAAGACAGACATAAAGACGTGAGACCTGGTAAAATTATTGCATGAAATTACACTGCAATAATTCAGTGTGCAGGAAGAGGAAATCAACAAATATGGAAAGTTAAAATTTGCGAGAACATTTACGAGGGGAGACAGGATTTATTACAATATTCATGATTCTGAGGAATGTAACTCAGCAACTATGTGCAGGTTCATGCACCAGACAATAAGCCACACTCATTATGTGGCTGACAATACACTGTATGCTACAGCAGTATAGCACTGAGTCACTGAAGACTCCATGCAAGAAACTTGTTGGTCCAAGTTTATTGCAAGTTAATGCCAATCTGAAAACACATTTGTGACGCTCACATTCAGATGATTATTATGAACTGTAATTAAATGTTACGCATAACTTATGGTCATACACTTATAGGTGCATCATCATTAATTACTGGACAAGAAGTTATTATTACTTACCATACATTCTTCAAGTTAAACCTAAGAGTCTGGAAATACAAACTCACCTAGAAATCTAACTTGGGATATTTCAATTGACAGCAAGGGAAACTACCACTATTAAAGATAAATGTTGTACCTACGTTATACTAATACTATCTGCAGTTACTTCAGGATCCATGGGTCTCTTGATTTAACGGAGGAATAGACCACTGGGTATACACTAGCTCCCTATTTTGGTATTTGCATTTCCCAATGAATGTAAAACAAAATAAATTTGTCTCAACTGACGTTTCGCTATTAAGTGCTAATAGCTGTCAAAGTTATTAAAGGATACACTGGCTGTTTATATGAACCATTATCAAGATTTGACCGAAGAGTATAAAGTACAGTACAAACAAATAAATATAACTTATTTAATTTATATTACCTGGTTGCTGAAGAAAAGTCATTAAAGCTGTTCGTCGTCATCAGTGAAAGAGTAGAAAAATACTTAGATTAACACCACTGCTTACTATAAGCGACAAAGATATGTCACTCAAGGAAAAAGCTACTTTATCTTTACAGTTGATCAATAAGACATAAAAACAATGACACAATACGTTGAAAGTAGACGGAAAGTGTCATTATGCGCACATCGTCAGCCATCAGCATTATCTACCAATTTACATGGATTTCAAACATTACCCAATATGAACTACTAGTCATACTCGAAAATCGGGAAAAAAAGAAATCTGCTGACCTACCTTGTGCACATTTTTGAGGTGGACAGTGAGCCAGGCTTAGTGCACGCAATGATAGTACCTGACTGTTCAAACCTCAGTAAGTGGAGCGATGTCCGAATTCGTAACCTAATCACACTTCAATTATACGTGTGCATTTATAGGTGAACCACGTGAAAATCAACACTACATCGTGATAATTCCTAAAACTAGAACTGTATTGTAACCTCTGAATTGGAATTACCAAGTACTTTATAGGTTAATGAAGCATTCGTATAAGGAGTGAGTAACCAAATAAGATAGCAGAATATGCAAAATGGAAATCGATAAAAAACTTAGTAAAGCACCGACAAAGGCTATATACTAACCTTGGAATCCGCAAAAGCCAGCCAACGAATTCCGAGGGAAGAAGGCACATTTTTTGGCACAAGATTTGACCACAATATTGGTTTGACATCTAGGGAAATACTTGCCGGATAATCAACTTACATGCAATTGTGTAGCACTCAGTAAGCGTTAAAGCTGAGAATACTGTTATTGCATCAGTCCTATTAACAACAACAAATCTAGAAGTAAACTAGTAAAAGGATATGAAATTACCTATCGTTCGCATCCACTGACAAGGCTTTAGATTCCAGGGAATATGACAAGACTACTCTGTGATCACACAAAGAAATAAACCGCACCTGCCATTGATAAGACAGGCAGCTGGATAAAATTATGACGTATAACTGACAGAGTTACCTGAAAGTATCACAGATGGCCATAAGAGGTCTGCTAGAAAATAAGGAGTCACCAGGATCTTAAATGACATTAGGAATAAAAATAATCACCATACGTGTAGGAGTGGGAAGAAGTTTCAAGTCTATTGTACAAGTATTCCGCTCTGCGTATAACAAGGTAGCATTACCACCAAACTACAGTATTAGAATAATGGGAAAATTTACCGAAATTCCCCATATATATGACCCTTTGCAAGTGACTAATGACAGAATAATGGAATAGGCTAAACTACATTCTAATGGTCACGAAAAGTTTGATAAACCTAATAAACCTACTATTAGCGTCACACTCTTCAAACCTAACGCAAAACACCTGTTCGGTAGGACCACAGGTGCGATATTGATTTCGTGGCATGTAATCACTCAGAACTCCCATAACGCTAGTTGCAAGGTTCTTCTCACTAGACTTTTCTGGAGAAACATGGAGAAAGGGCTGCATTATTTACGAGAAGACAAAAGTATTGTGGTAAGGAAAATAAACCGTGGCGATCCAACCACACATCACAAAACTTAACGACACGACCTAGAGGCTGTCGAATGATGACCTTGCGAATTGGTCAAGTGACTCAAGATACATCCTTAAGTACCTTCCTGCCTTAAGGACATTGAAGAGTTGTTATAAATTTTCAGTAGACTTCAAACACTGACATCTACCATGCATGTAAAAGTAAATGATCGTTTGTAACCTGTTGGAATTACCATGCTTAGCATGTTTAGTTACACTGTCTTGGTGACCTAAAAAGTTTAATCCACTTTCTAATTTTCCCGTAGTAGGTTATTGTTCTGTTTGAAGTTTGTGTTTTTAGTTTTGATTTTCAGCACTTTAGGGGCGGTGAGGCTGAATGAGTTGATCCACCCGTTATTTCCTCGTCTCTGCTGAAAAGGAACTCAGACTTTTGTAGTTACCTGTGTTTAAAAGTACAGGTCTCAGATCATCTCAGAGAGATGGCTTCTATGGCCTCAATCGAAATAGTTTCTCGAAGAAGTTATGTGGTTAGGTTGGGAGATGACTCAGCTGTTCACCAAACTAAGCTTGCTGAGTGCAGTTGTTCATGAGGCCTTTTGGAAGTTGTACCCTGTTTAGTGAGTTGCGCATCGTAGAACAAGCTCTGAAGATTGACCATCCTCAGACAATTTGGTGGCTGACAGGTAGCCTTACTACGTGGTCTCCTCTGTGGTGCGAGCGGGACCATACCAACAAAATTCCCCTAGGGTTACCACGACGCACCAACCTATTACTGCTAACCATTGTGTTATGGTCATTAAAACTTCATTCCCCCTTATCCGTGACGAATGAGGCCTTGACCACCACCCTGTTTCGTTTGAATTAATCTTTCAACTTTACGTTTTAGTTACACTATCGAATATGGGGTGTCAACCTACCTTCAGATATGGTTATTCCCTATCATCAACTGATACCAACCTGTGGTAAGTGGACTATAGTCTGTTGATCAGTATACATTAACGATTCCATACTCCAAACATGTTCTACAGACACTATAGCTGGGGCCACTTCAGTATAGCTTCAGTTGCTCAATGTTAGCTCCACATGCAATAAAGATAATATTTGTTCCCGAATATACGGGCACACACCATTTTTACGGGTGTGAACTAGTTACTTTATAAACTGCATGTATCTTTATGGCAGGCAATCTCAATCCCCACCATAAGATACAGGTGCTGCACGTTTGCATAATGAACATCCCAGCAGGATAAGTGTGCGAAAATGTATAAGCTGGACATGTACTGTCTTCGAATTAACAAAAATCAGGTTTGTATCGCAATGAAGATTGTTTAATTTGTCAAACTGTGGTCCAACCCTTTTGTCTCCGTGGGGCGGGCATTAGTGACTTACTTTGTTATGACCATAGACGAGATTGGTGCCGGCGAACGCACCAGCCGTATTTCTCTCCGTTTTCTTTTCTGATACCGAATTTCACCTTCTGTTCCGCCATTTACTACTTGGAAGTGCAGTGGGGGCTTTTTAAGAAAACGAGTTCTTATGTAGAATTCTGATAAGCTGTGAAGTTAAATCAGGCTGAAAGTTCGTAAGTCTCATTAACTTTTTTAAGTTGGAAGCTAGAAGGATTCTCATTCCTGTTATGCCCACCACCCTACTCCACTACATAATCTCACAGAGGTAACAGCTTCTACTTCAGGGATATCTTAGCAGTAGGTGAACATCGTGCACCATTCCAGCAAACACTGTCTTAGGTTAAAGGCCATAATTGTTTCCCTTCCCCGAAGAAGCCTAATTTTATCACATTTACCTGTAAAATTTTCAGAGTAGATACCCCAACCTTAACGTTCTGCAGCAATTTTCTCTTCAATTCACATCATGTCAGCAGACAAATGGAAGTTGAACATTAAGGTGGTCTCTGTTTTGTCTTTGTTACTACTTACGCACTCTGTTGATGGTAGCTTCATACTGCTTTCCTAGATGTTTGCTGTAGGTATTGAGTTGATGAAGTTTTTCAGGATAAACACCCTAGGTAATCTCAGAGACTGCTCACTTCGTAGACGAACCATTTTGGCTAGGCACTCGGTTTCCTGCCGAACAAGACAGTATGCACACCAGAAGTAACTGTCACAAACGCAGGTTTGCTGTGAACAATTGCATTTGGCTGCATCGTGATAAAATCGTGACTACTAGTGGTGTGTTACCTTAAGCCGAATTTTCTCCTGGCGAATTCAATATGTTGCCGCTGTGCGTAGTGTCGGCTCGCCTTCAAACATTTGTCTTTCAATCTCTTGCACCAAATCAGTGAAATGCGTAACCAACTCCGGAGCCACTGCTAACTGAGGTGGGATATACTCTGTTGAGGCATCTTCGGAACAAGATTCGAGCAGATGGGATCAAACCACAAAGACAACCACGAATCCTCGCCCAAGGATAACAGGAAATTTGTAGGCGCGATAATGCGGACTTTTACGCCCAATTTTCGCTCAATGTGTTATTGTCGAAACTTTGTATTGGAAAATGGATAAGTTAGAACACTGAGTGCTGGGGTTATCTGATGATCTCCGCTTTGAAAATGAAGGTTGGTGGCTTAATCTTTCTGCAGGCCGATTGCAATGCTGATCGTATGCGTTACTGAAGGCAGGAGTAGATAGAACATGGAGCAACCTCTTCAATCCAGTTTCCATGAATGCGAAGAGAAAATCCACGAATTCTGGACAGTCATAGAGCTTCCGAAGACCACCGCTGACCGCTCTAACCCTGAAAACACTGAAGTGGATCCAAAGGTTTGCTGAGCCAGTTGCCACCAATTTATTCACAATGCTCATAAAATGAGCTCACGCATTCAGTGAAGTCTACGGAATAACTATATTTCAACCTTATACCGCATTTCCGACCGTTCAGCTCAAGCGTCCCAAGCTCTCGGATGGGAGCGTTTCACCACCACGAAACTACGATTTACCAACCGGATGAAGCTTGCTGCGGCCAAACAATTGCGAATACCTGAATGCCTGGACAGCACCTAAACTGGTTCCTCCAAATCTATAGAAACACATTTCTTTGCGCCAGCAGTCTCTATGGTGTCAGGGAAAATATTTTATCAAATTACAACCTTTCTTCCAATGCAGCATGCGCAATGTGTCGGTCACCTCACTAAAGGCATGCTACAATAATTAGCGCTTTTTGATCCTTGCTTCAAAACAGTATTTGAAGTGATAAGCTGAATCTTCACACTGTTTGACCAACGACCATGGTAACAGATACAAATGTATGTTCAGGACAAAATACGGAGCAGCCACTAGTCCGTGACAACCTTCACGTGGACCTTATGCAAATTAAAAAAAGTTGAATTGTAGATCCAGATTAACCTGTTGTCAGGCTCTTCGTCATTACCCATCAGGCTACACTGTCCAGTGGTAAAGACTGTGTAATTTGAGATTATATTGTCTATAGATGGAAGCAGACATTGTGAAGTCAACAAGTTAACCTACCGAACACCAAATGACGTCACACATATTCGGCTCCGTGTTCTCACCATTTTGTGAGCATTTTGCAGTGGCCGAAGCTGCCGAGAAGTATGCCAACGAATATGGTGGATATATGGTGGAAGCAGTGAAACACAACTTTTATGTTGATGATTGCCTAGTATCCTTTGCAAGCCCAGATGAGGCAAAAAAAGTTCGTGAAACAGTTCAGCGAGTTGATGTTTCGTGGTGGCTTTAAAATGAAGAAGTGGGTGACCAATTCAGAGGCAGTGAGAGTAGTTCTTCCTGGTTCGAGCAACACAAAGAACTCCATTGACTTACGTGATAGTCAAGGCCCAACCCATAAAGCCCTAGGCTTGGAATGGGACGCCACGCATGAGGTTTTTAAGTTCTGATCTGAACCCACCGGAAAGCGCTCCACGAAGACAGAACTACTATCCGCCGTCTCAGCTTCCTTTGGCCCACTAGGTCTGATCGCTCCAGTTCGTCTTCCAGCCAAGCAGCTATTCCAGAGCCCCTGCAAATCTCACACTGGTTGGGATACACCTCTGAGTTCCAATGACCCATCCATGCGGATGGATTGGATGAGGTTCGTGAAGAATCTTGGGCAAATCTCCGTACCCAGAAGTGTCAGGAGGGAGGATAAGAGTGGGCTGAGTAAGGTTGAGTCGGACTTATTTTGCGACGCGTCTGGAACGTTCCAAAAAACTTCACCGCATAGCATACTGCTATATAGCAGGTCCCGGGTTTCCCCTCTGAAAACTGTGACAGTGCCGAGATTAGAGTTAGCTGCAGCAGTATTGAGTGCACAAATGAGTGATATTTTGAGGAAGAACTTCCCAAATACCTTTGATGAGACTTGTTTTTGGACAGATTCTATGATTGCTCTGTGCTATATTAGAAATACAGAGAGTCAGTACAGTACGTTCGTGGCCAACCGTTTAGCCATTATTCACCAGTATTAATCGCCTAAACAATCAGGGCACATTAAACCCGAAGAGAAACCTGTAGGTTGGACCTCAAGAGGTATACGAAGGGCGTGTGATTTAGCGTCTTGGATTCAGCGTCCCCTCTTACTGAGAACCCAACAGTTTTCAAGCACCATAGACCCCTGCTGGAAGGGACCACCGAAGCATGTCGAATTCAAAAGGTGGGTCCGAACCAACACAAACGTTGCTGAGCTCACTGTCTATTCGATTTCGGCATATCATTCGAACTGGGTGAGGCTGATTAAAGCCGTCGCATGGCTTAAAAGATACGTGGTCTACATGTCCGTTGCGTTTTCAAGTCACCAAGTTGTTTCATCGAACATTGACTATCTGACAACCGCTGAGCCCGAAGCTGCTAAACATAAAGTATCATGTACGATACAACAGGTGTTTGGAGTACTGACAAAAGAGCTGTGAGAAATGGATAGTTGTGAGACCGAAAAAGGTAAGTTGCAGAGGTTGTCACCTATACTTATGGATGGATTGGTCTGCACCGGCGGAAGGTGGAACTATTATGGCTATCCACCCACCTTTGAGCATCCAGCTATCCTCCCCAGGCATCACGTCGTGACCGAGCTGATCATAAGGCATTATCATATCATACAGCAAAACACTGATACTTCACAAGTCCTGGTCACTCTACGCAAAAACTATTGGATAATTAAGGGGATTAGTGTGGTCAAACGTATGATAAGAAAGTGCATAGAGTGTCGACGATTGAAAGCTGCGCTGGATAAGCAGGTGATGGCCCCCTTACTGGTCTGTTGCGTGCAGAAAGGATGGTTTTGCTTCTCGCCAGCGGGAATTGATTATTTTGGGCCACTCACGGTTCGCCGGGGAAGAAGGGAGGAAAAGAGGTACGGGTGTGTGTTTACTTGTCTTCAGGTGGGGGCCACACATTTCGAAGTAGCTTTAAACCTAGGCACTGACGCCTTTACAATGACTGTAATGGGGCTCGTGGGAAGAAAAAGA